CCGCTACGCTAACCGGCTACCCCCCGCTGATTAGAATATTCCTTTTCCTCGTTATTTAAACCTTCCTATATGCCCGTATTACGTAACTTTGAAACAGCCATGCGTTGCTCGAATTCCTAAGACAATTGTTCCCCGCTACACTTGGAAACGCGCCAGAAATAAGTATTCTTTTAACTGCACTGCGTGCACTCAAGCATAAAATAAGAGTCCCTACAAAGAAACAAACATTGCCATATCTTCCTGTGTCTCTTCGTCTGTGCATCACGCTACTTGTCGTTTCGTTCCAAATGCAGTGTGTGTTTGCCAAGTGCTTGTGATTCAGGTTACTTTTATGTGTTATGCTTCAGCTACAAGGGACGACCGTTGCCGTGCCAATGGTGTTTTCAGGTATATGACGCAAAACCTCTATATATTTCTCTGTTAAATACATGTTGAACTTAATTGGTTCTTTCCTGCAAAAGAGTTCCGTACTCGAACGCCACTCGACACCCTGTGCACAAACCCAATTAGACTGGTCTGAAATATTCTAAGTCAGTGCTTTCTAACTAAACGACTTGGTTTTTTCCCTCCTAACTTGACCTTTTTTGGACAAGTTTTTGCTTTCTGATGGCTAATAGGTCACTGGAGGGAATGATTACTGGCGTCTGTACATGGAACACTTCCCTTTCATGCGCAATGTTGTGTTCAAACCTAATGGAATTGATTTGATTTCGCAAGCAATCTGATGAGTCACCTACACGTTGGCTTAGGCCTATTACAGATTACTTAGAAATGTTGAAAAGAGGACAGAGAAATTTTTTCTCAGTAATAAATCACTTCATCTATTGCAAAAGCCAAGACAGTCATGTTCCCTAAAGCTTTCTCTGATTGAATTCCGACTTCCGGCTAGTCAGATTTTGGTTTCATTTTTTTCTCTCATTAGTACGTAATGATTTGTTTCATTTCAAATTTGGAATTCACCTCACAATTTCTTGTATCTCTTTAGTCATTTGATTAGTCAGCTGAAGCAAATTTAGTCGAGCAACTTATGTGGAATTACAGACGTAATACACGTTTTTATCCCATGAAATTCTCTGAGAAAGAAGTTAGTAGCAAAATAAATGTTTTGTGCTAGGACAAGTTTCGTCCTGGTGGTTGAGGTATAGCCCTACAGTTACGGTCGTTGACAATTAGCCTATAATTTGGTATTTGTCTCAATTGTGTGATGTGATTGTGGATGGACATGGATGTCTCAATAATTCATTGCTCATTGCTTGAAATGATTCAGTGCAACAAACAACTATTTACAACACGTCTTTCGCTTACGCCAAGTATGAATGGCGCCCCCTTTTGAGCTCACCTCGCTTTGCAAAAAGTGCGAACGTTATTCTGAATCTAGATGCTGAAGTTACAATTCGCAAAATCCGTTTTGCTAGGACCCAACAAATAAAGTGCTTGTTTCAGTGGCATTTTATCTTTCCTTTGAATTGCTTCACAGTGGTGTTTTTTATCGCTTTGCCCTCGAGTCACTAAAACGGATTATGTAAGAAACTGACATTCATTGATTGATTGCAGTGCTAGTGCTTTTTATCCAGAACTATAGGCAGGGATACATTTTATCAGAAAATCGGAAAAACTTTGAAGCAAGTTAGACACTTCAGTGTTCCTCATGCAGTTCCCTTTCGTTAAAAATGTTCAGAGTAGATCTCTCATTTGCTTTCACTTCTTCCTTGTTCTCTCAGACGGTACCAGTGTTTCTATGAATATTGCATAACATGACACACCCAGAGACGGAGACGTGACAAACAAATAAACGTTCATAACAAGATTCCGCAATGTTTTCTGTTTTTCTCCTTTGATTTCGTTTAATAGTCATTTCTGAAAACAATCTTTCGTTCATATTTACATGAAATAAACAAATATGCAAATATTTCCAACTGTCATCTTTCTAAAAGTTGTAGCACAAACTCATGCTTTACATTTGCAACAAAATCGCCTGTAAATTAATTTAAAGCAGTCGTTTACTGTTAGTCAAATGCAAGAATTCACTTAAACGTAAGTTTTCTAGTAAGTACTATATGAGTAAAATCATATCAGGAAGCAAGACAACTTTAATACTTCCAACATGGTTTCTCTTATACAATCTCATTGCACACTATAATCACATCTTCACACGAAATAGCGCTAATTGCTTTCTCGAAATATCTCAGATTGTCGTTACAAATTGATCTGAACGTATTTGTAATTGTTATAAATTATAAATAGTTCATTCTCGTGCAGAATAAGCTGAAACTCCTTGCGTGCAAAGTCGAATAGAGTTTTCCACAAATTAATGATTTCTTTGGCATTACGAAAACTAACTATTTTTTATAATAAATGGAATGTATTTTAAATCTAACAAATGGCATATCAAGTAGGCAATAAATCAAAAATTACACGTAAATAAAGTCCAGCATATCCGGGCAGTGTCTGTTCGGTTTCATACGTAAACCTTTTCACAATTATCACAATTAATATAATTAACTGCATTATAAATACGGTCATTTCAAGAATCCTTTCACCCAACTGTTTGTTTGTTGTGGACAAATCATTCTCAATATTGCACTTACTGGCGTGAAAACTTGACGCCTTTTGGTGGATATATTGTTTACATCAGCAAAAGAGACTGATTGTCTTATAAAGAAGGGGCCAGCTTTTGCTGTTTTTGTACTAATACCCTTCATCCCTCGCCAACGACTGACCCAGCGACCATGACATTTCCACATGCATCACAACTAATGCATATTTCACTTGCCTTTTCTGTTAAATAGTAAACTAACAAAAACATGGTCTCTTTTCCAGGTGTTCATACCACCACAGATCCAATACGGAAGTCACAGTTACCAACAAAAAGTGCAAGAGCAGAGCCTGCATGGTATCCATCTATGAGGAAATCATGCAGTACCGCCAAAGAAGTTGACATGTTATTAGAAGGTAAGATATCTCAAATTTGCATTCCTCAAAAATGATAAGCAAAGTCACTAATATGACTTTCCCGCCCTGTGTCCATAAATATTGGTGGTAAAACACCCACACTTGCATGTTGCCTCTTTGTTTAATCACAATGACCACAGATAGCACACAATGCGTTCCTAGCCTCGCATCATCGAACAAACCTCAAGAGTTTGATCATACCAAATAATGACGCCCGTCAAGAGTCGACCGAGTTTAAGTGATAATTATACAGGTCGTGATGATACAACTGTGACACGGTAACAGAGCTTCGTAGGTCCTACCAGTTTATCTCTCCCTGTACGGTCTCGCAAAGCCAATGATTGAATTTCTCTTTCCGTGACCTCGAGTGGTGATCCTCATGATGTACCAACCAACTCTAGCGATTTCCATGCAGTCGGTGAGCCCGACAGAAGGATCGTAAGTTTCAAAACGATGCCCAACTATTACAGTTACAAGGATTTCATCTCAACTGAGTTCGTAGTAACGAGAGTTGACTGTGTTTTGGAGTGCTAAGACTCATAACAATCTTCGAGATTCTTCAACCGGACAGAACGGGGCGGCTTGTGAAGTGGAGAGGAGACCCCGAGATCTAAACACGGTCCAAGATCTTGTCAATCTGGACGTTTCCCAGAGTCCGACGGAAGAACAGCTCCTCAAGGTCCTCCCCCGTCACACGCTTGAGGGACGGCATCGTCAGCAGCAGCTTGCCAAATCTCGCCGGACTCTCGGGGTGCACCACGTTCTCGTACTGCGCGAGAACGACCTGCGCCTGGTCGCGGAAAAACTCCACTTTGCTCTTCTCGCGTAGTGTCTTTGTGGTATCTGAAACAGTCAAGAGAAGAGATTGAAATAAACTGAATGCATACAATTTGTAGCTCAAAGCTTATGCGAAATCGTACTTCCATGTCAATGTGAGTTGTTGTTTGTGTCTTGCTTTTATGCGCTGTTTTGGTTTAAACTAAAATGTTTAAGAGCTAAAGTGAACAGTAGCAGATGTTTAGACAACACTTCCTGCTTTCGTTAATATTTAGATATTGAATAACTGCGGAAAAGCTTACGGAATGCAGCCATTTTTTATTTTCCTTTAGTCAAGCGTAATATTAAGATAAACAACTTGTCATAAGTGTCAAATATAACATGGAAATATTAATCGTTTCGACCGAAACTATTCGTCGAATATTAATGAACAAAATGAATGAGACTGGAAACAAGTCATGGACTTCTCACTGGGTCTTTTGAAGAAATGAATTGTATTGACAGTCATACACTCAGTGTTACAAGCTTGACGGGGCAAATTGAGTAAATATTTCTGAACGCGTATCGGTCCGTTATGGACGAAACACAAGCACGGTCACAGCAGGGTGAGTCTACAGTGTCTAGACACACACAACAGACCACCAACCCAACAAACATTCAATTGGGTATTTTTCTGATAGTCGTACCTGACGCCTAATATAAGCTTTTACTCCGTGAAAATGAGGTTGCGCGCATCGGGGGGGGGCAAAATATCTTGCTTAGCGTCTCAGCTGTCACCTCATACAGAGACGAAGAAACCAGCGCCAACGGACCAAGAAATGATATGCAACCAGACATTTTGTTACAGTTTCTTTTTTTTTCTTTTTTTTCTTTTTTTTTGATCGCTTTGCCAGCGGGGTTGGGGGTTTTTCCCCCTCCGCTAATTCAATTAAACAAGGCCGATTAACCGCATTTTTATTACGCGGCATTTTCTCCCTTTTTTCTCGGATGGTGGACTGCCGAAGGCGCAGATAGGCCGAGAAACGGAACCCAAATTGAGCTTGCCACGCCTAGCGTGGTCGGGCCTTCAAACAACCTAAGGGGTCGCTGAATAAACCCGTTGATCGGGCCATTTGGCGGTTATTAAGGTAGTGACCGATTTACTTGACCGCGAAAGAGTGATAAGTGGTATCACTTTGATTGGTCTGATGAGCGAATCAGTTGGAAGACAAAGAGACCTGTGGTCTATATATATAACTGAAACGAAAAATTTAATGTTATATTAATTTAATAAAATGATCGGATAATGAGATCTTAATTTAAAATTTAACATTTAGATATGTTCGTGTCTGTTTTATGAATAAGTTATATCAAGATTAAGTGAACTTGTTATTTTGAAATCAGTCAAAACTAACTGGCTTTCCTGCATGTGACACTGTTGTCTGTCAAATTCTTCACATTTTGTCCTTTTTAGAATCTCCTCTTAGGCCTCACAATTTTTTTATCTACATGGAAGTTCGAGAAAACTGTTATTACACACGCTAAAAATGGATTTTGTCGTTCACACCGTCGTTCAATTGTGAATCATGGTTGTCCAACCACCAAAGTGTACTTTGTAGGTCACGCCGGGCTACCGGCGTGTTCGTGTCAGAATTGTGCCGGGTCGCGTGTCCACTCCGACGGCACGCGCTCGATGAAAGCATTACCAACTTCGATACAAGTCAACTAACATTTCTGACGCCCACAAGACAAAAAAACTCCGATTTGGAGGTGAAAAACCCCTGCACGTGGCTGTATACCGCAGGGTCTGGACTTCAGCCGCGAACCATGCAAGAAAGGTCACTAAATCATGTTTGTGACCCAGATTCTCGGCTTAACATATCCGGAGGAAAGACATTGTTGTTTCGTTTAGCAAACTGGCTTTTTGACCGGCCCATTGATGTTTTACGACTAACAAAATGTCCTTTCTTTAGTTGTCTATACGGACGTTTGAGGGCCTTTGTCAGAGTTCAATGAGAGTATAAGACAGTAGTCAGTAGACACTGGGTTTGTAGCTCTATGGTAGACACAACCAGCTTTTTCAGATCGGATTATCTGCGGACATGGGCTGTTTGACGTGGGCGCTTTTGACGTGCTAAACAATGACAAACATTGCACATTTGTAATACTAACGGGTGTTTTCATTCAGAATACAGTACTACAAATAACATGATTATCCAAAATCACTTGGGAAAAAATATCATCTTCTGTGCACTTGCCCTCTGATGAATGTCGATTCTAAAGCATATAGAGCCAACGACATAGGGCTGGCTAGCTCCGTTGGTGGAGCACCGGTACGGTATTCCGTAGGTCGCAGGTTCAAATCCCGCTCCAGTCAAGTTCTTTAATTATTCATCTTTATAATCATTTATAAGCACCTAGCCAGTTGCCCTATAGAGTTCGATTCATGGCATATCATCCAGATGGAATTGTTTAAATTGGGCATTCCGTTCTTCAATGTATACAGTATTTGAAAACACCCTATGTGAAATTAAAATCTTCCCATTGCAACCTGTTATATTCATAATGAATTGTAGCTTCTAGCTACTTGTGCATGTACCTGTTTTTTTCTTCTTGGTGAATACTTAATTTTTTGAAAACTTTTCAATTTTTTTGTTTAATTTGTGGGATTAGAGTTGTAGTTTGCAGAAAGTATAAACCAGCAGAAAGAATAGAAAAAAGTTGGAAGGTCTGTGATTTTCAGCGTGGCTTTATATAATTCCGATCCATAAACATTGGAGAGCCAATCTTACTGTGATATATTTGAGGCTCTCTAGAGGAAAGAGAAGAAGAAACCTTTCCCGTCCTACAAGAAAATTAACGCCTATGGCAAGGTTGCCGCCCCCTTTTTAGTCACTCAGCCCTGGCCTTGCCGTAGGGGGTATCTCCCCAAGTGCCAACGGAAGTTGAAACAAATTACATTGTACCAACACTTGGCAGAGAAGCACACCGCGAATTCCGCCGCTCACACGGCATAATAATTCTCACCGAAGAGCTGACCCAGAGTGGAGGTACGGCCTGAAGGTGACGGGCGAATATCGACGCGCACGCATTGTTCCCCCATCCGACACTTGAAGTTGAAAGAGGCCGATGTTGACAAAAATCAGTTCAAAAATGACTTGGAAATCCGTGTCTTTCCAAGGCGGGATGTTGGTAGTCCAAATTTAACCCGCAAGAATTACTCGAGCAATCGAAATGTATAAGATGAACAGAGACGTATTTTATGGCAAGACCTCTCGGAGGACGGGAGTTTGACCTTTAGGTTTGAACGAATCGCTGATGGGTGTGCACTTCATTTGTGTACGGCAGAATCGAATTAACTTCATTCTCTAACGGTAATGGTTTACGCCAATGGCTCTTGGCTGAAACCAGAATGTATTAGAGATAACGATTATGAGTCGCATGGTCAGGATCGCAGCAGGGATAGGCTTCATTAAAACAAAGCAGATGTGAAGACTTTGTCATCTTTGTAATGAGATTATTTTAAGGGGATCGATGCCTGGGACATTTACTCCGGTATCTCGAGGCAGTTTGGGCGGGAAAGGACGGGACATGATGGTTTTTGTGGCGCCGCGTAGTCTGTGGTGAACCGGCCTGATGATGTAAGTCAAAACGTCTGAGAGCAGGTTTTCTGTCCACGCTTCTAGGGTAACAAAATCATAGGGGAATGTCCGCATATGGTTTGATATGTTTGTTACCGTCGCTGCTGATGGCTTTGTCACTGTTGTCACTGCTACCATTTTGTCCCAGTGATGTTGTCATTGACTTTCCTGCTATGATTTTAATATTACACGTATATATCTTCTCGACGCAGAAATACATCTTGTTATAGTTTTGGTGTGGTTGTGACTTTAACTGATTCATGTGACAATACATGCAGTGGTTGCCGGTTCTGAATTGTTTTGGGGCTGTTAGTGTCAATGAGTCACCGTCGTTGTCCCTGTCGTCATTTTGCTGGTATTATCAAAGTTGATTAATTTGTGTCTCTTGATTGCTACAGGTAGAATCGTGAAGGATATTCCTGTCCGAGTTTCAACATGTAAAATAATTGCAAGTTAAATTGGCGAACGAAGGTCTTGGCCTATAGGGATTTCGGGGGAAAGCATCGATGTTCTGGCTCAAATCGTACTGTGTATTGTCTGCGTGACCCAGCTTTTGGCTGCACACTGAGCGGTTGTTTCTGCAACTGTTCGGACATGAAACAAGCGTCAAGATTCTTCAAAATGTTGAGATTACTCACCCGGCTTGAAGAGGACGATGGCTTCCAAGGAGGCGAACTCGTAGGAGCTTAGATTCAAGGTTCTGAGCCGGACCGTTATCTCCTGAATATCGTCGATGATTTCATTCCTCTGTCGTATGGTCACCTGTTGTGGAAAAAGAATTGTGGAATACATAATCGTCTGTCTTCTTCATTGGTAGGCCTGGTGCACCAATCGCTACAGGTTTCTTCTAATTAAGAATACTTAAAAAATTAAGATCCCATTCTGAAAAAAAATCTTGACATTTGGAGTACTTTGACTTTCTGTCTTCAGTTGGTTAAAATTGATTGGCTCTCCAATGTTTATTTCGTGTTCTCCTAAAGATTTTAAAATATTGCATCAAAAGGCCCCCAGTTAAGCCCAAGAATATTTCCAGGAGAAGAACTAACCGAAGAGTCGTTTGAGGTGCTGGGTAGCCCACCTCCTGCACTCTCCGATCGGAGGTTGGAATGACTAAGCAGGGCACAGAAATCCACCCCTGGCCAGTAGGCGGCGTGTAGGAGAAACAGCTCGTTCCAACAATCCTGCAACACAGAGATCTGGTCCCACGTGTCGAGGGCCTGGAAGGGCTGTACGGAGCGGGACGTGCGTACGGCATGGACAAGGATATGCGTTGCTATCTCCTCGATGGATGTACTGGGTGAAGGTGGAGCGGGAATGGTAAGGATAGGAGCCGTACCAGCCGGTCGATTTGCCCAGGGAAACGGGGGCCGATCCGAGGACCGCTTGGCCAGAAGAGCTGATAGGAAACGGAAACAATGATTGGACATATCATTAAATGAAAGCTGAAGCCAATAGTATTTGAGATTTGACCAAGGAGTGTTGAAAATTCGTTTGCGAAATTTGGTTTGTTATCCCTTTTGTTTTGAACATGAACATGTTTACAGTTTCGATACTTACAGGTAATGCCCTTATTAAATTAGGTCACGCATGTTGTCAATCATGAAAACATGCGACTTGGTACACTTCACTTTAAATAGAAACGGGTTGAGTTTTGTGTCGATAGTAGTTTGTCGTTAATAATTATTGAACAAAACAGATTCGATTATTTTGTAAAGAACATTACGCCTTTATTAATGATTATTAACAGCGATGAGATCGAAAATATTCCCGAACTGATTTAGAAGAAGATTTTGGTCATTAGTAATACACCAACCTGCTCTGTCCTCCATCCTCAACCCGGCAAACTGTGACGGTAAAGTTGGCACTAACACCCTGTCGGCAGCTCCGTCGAACGGTAGGGTGGGCGACAGGTGAGGTGGAACCCCGCCGGGAAACAGCCCACTCCTTACCGCCACCACACGGAATGCGCTGCCCGACCCGCCGGCAGCATGGGCGGCAGCGGCGGTAGCCACGGCCGCCGAATGCTCCCGCCAGCCCGCCGATTTGCTGGTCCATGGTTGGAAAGGTCGAAAGGACGGCTTAGGGTTGGACTTGGCTGCCGCTGCGGCTAGCGCACGGGAGTGGCTGACGCTGCCCGCACCCTGACAACATAAGTCGCTGGTGGATCCACCTGCATCCGGCTTGGGTTGTGGCTTTTTCTTTCTGGGTCCCCGCTCCTCTTGCACCGCTAGCAATCGAGATAACAAAAGTATTTCTTATTATTTTGGCTTATTGTTGTTTAAACAGAGTACATGTAACTAATTTAAGCGCTCTACCATAACGTGAACCATGGACGCATGCGTAATAAAGACAATGACCCTTGGAAAAAAGATCGCAAAAGTAAGATGAAAGTTAAGATAAAATTCGTGTCTTTACAAACACTGATCTTCACTTCCGGGTAAAGGCGCAGTATTTTTCTCAAGGGAGTCATTTCTATGTGTGCGGATTCGGTCCCAGATTCGAAAATGAAAAAAGTATCAGCCGACGGTTTCCTGATTCATGATGATTACAATACCACATGTAATGAAACGTGTGCAGAGTGCATGTTACTTGCTTTCAACACGCAAGTAATCTTATTTACGAAGTAAGAAACGAATCAAAAAATGAACGCATAAAAATTGATGAAAGAAATGCTGCCCACTCCTTTGCTGGTGACACCCCTCTGTGAATATACTAAACAGACGTACTATAAAATACTTCGAAACCTGACCAACAAGAGTGGTTGGAATTTTATGTCCCTTTTTCTTCTTTTATTAAACTAGCCTTTTTTCGTCCCAAGCGAAATTGTATTAAGGTATTATGTTTCTTTTACAAGAGTTAATAAGAAATATATATTTAAACATTAATGAGGAATATAACATCTGCACATTAACCGTCATGGTCAAATTTTACACCTGTACAGACTTTGACAGGAAAAATCATCCGGTCTTTGTCGGTTATAAAAAAAAATAGGTACAAATTTTGCACTTTTTGTTATGTTGAAACTGTCTTTTTATCGCTTAACTGTTTATTTCCGGTCAGAGATACTCGTGAACAAGCTTTTTGCCAACAATATTCCAACATGGTGTCATTTCTCTGCGCTAAACAAGACAACTACATATAGCACTGTGTATTGGTGTGAAATTACAATCAAAACAGGACCATTTAGCGGGGTATTACTTGCTGTAATGAACTTGCGCCCTAACCATTTACACCTCGAGTTTTGACAAATAATGGAAGAAAGGAGCGACAGCGCCGGCCGCTGCTGCGCAGCTGCATAAAATAAACTGAACCGCTCTCGCTCGGCAGCTAATCGAGGCAAAGGATTCGTTAGAACACTACATCACGGCCTTACTAACGCTCAAAGTCATTTGGGAAAAATCTGTCCGGTACGTGACGACGGCACGTTTTGTGGTTGAGGGGCGACCGGCGATCGATTAGCGGGGACTTGTCTCATTAGGTGAAGATAGAGAGCAGTCAGGAGACAGGGAGAGAGGGGGCCAAGGGTTGCAACTCGATGTTATCCCCTTTGACGGACGGGACGGGGTGCCGAAAAGGAAATTCTGTGTAATAGTTGACGCGAGGGGGACTTCGGTGACTAACAGCTCGTCCTGATGAAGGGAAAGGCTTACGCCGGCCGGGATGGATCCGTCAGGTTGATTTAGGGGCCGAAGCGCGGCTCTGACCCAAGAATTCTAACAACCAGTGATCTTTGATCTTTCTCCCCGTGTCGCCTGGGCCCTGACACGTGCACGGCAACACCTCTCTTAGCTCGACACTCTGGCGTTTTGAAGGGGAGCCCAGCCCGAAATACTACACCCTTAATGCTCAAGCTGAACAAATTTCGACCGCGCCGCACGCGACGGCGTTATGTACAGCCCTTTCCACCCGGCTAGCCGTTGACAATGCCGGGGTGCTGGCGTGCGTTCGCGTGCCGTGATTTCCCCCTGTCCTTAATCAGGGGCCTGTGAATAGACAAGCGCTGTCGCGAGCGGGTCAGTTAAACACCGTATCGCCGAGAGGTAACAGCGGGCTTACAGTACAAAGACTTCCCCCGTGAAACGCTACTGGTTCACTTCCACGTCTTAGTGTAAATAGAGACACCAACATCCCCAAAGTCTCAAATCTCACGGCGGTTTTTTGTCCTTTACTCGGATGCGTGTGTTGTAGGCCTAAAGTATAAGATCCAATCCAATTGTTGATTTCTTAAAAGACAGCAATTTTGCCCCACCGAGCTGTGGCGAGGGCACATTGTGACGGAAACATCTGACTGCTGACGCTACTGTTTTTTAATTGCATCTCACTCAGGTTTCATTGGCGAGTTCTCCTCCCTTAGACTCGGGGCTTTCTTCATTTCGTACGGGAGATCCTCCCGCTGAAAGAGAGAGCTTCATTTTAATGAGGCGTCGCTTAATTCAGCGCTCTGGGAGTTGCAACCGATGTTAATTCTGTAGCATAGACTTCTTCCAAGAGCATGAGCACTTTCATAAACAAGTGTAAAATACATTTGAAGATGTTGAGTTTGGATAACATTTAAGAATTACTTAGGTTTTTATGGATTACGCTAATGTTGAGTCGAAAGTGGACTAAATATTCTGCTCTTTAAATTACTTTTAAAATTTTTGCAACATAGTGGTCACCAGAAAGTCCAAAATAATTTTTAATCGCTTCAGTGCCCTAATATTTCGGCTCTTATCGTCAATGGAAGTTCAGCCATCCAGATAACATTCTCGTCGGTTGTTTAAAATTTCCCGCTGTTTGCAGCTGAAATAAGGTATTTGGTTACTTTTTTTAAAATATAATAATTTAATACTGTCTATTATATGTCATCCATTGAAGTATCAAATTTCACTGGAAACCAGTATCCTTGATGTCATGCCTGTCTTCAATACAGCTGGTTGTCAGAATTTTAATGGATGTTGAGAGATGGTATGTTTTGTCTGGTAATTGTATCGATGTTTCCCTACTGGATTTCCTTAGACAAACTGTCACAGTCTAGGCTTTGGTTGATGATGAATTTGTGTCTTTTCTGCTTCACTTTAATAACAGAATAAAAAGGATTTTCTGCATATTTTTCCGATATATAAATGTCCATCGATTTTAAATATTCTACTTTCAAATCACTCCATTCACCATACGTTACATACACTGGGCTTTTGGCCTGTTTTTGTCCTTTAAATTAAGAAATCTTTCTTAACTTCACTTCACCCTGTCAAAAAAATCATGTTTTCCTGAACTAAAAACTACTTTGAAGAGACGGCATTATGTAAAACTCTAACCAGTTGTTATAAAAGAAACCAATAATTTCGAAGATTTGAAGGAATCACCATTGGCGTCAGCATAATTGGCTTTTCGCCGAAGTTGACATATTTTTCTCATGTCTTATCGAAGTAGTTTTTAGATTACACAAAACAGTTCAATCTTATTCAAGAAATCCTGACATTTCATAATGCCCAAGTAGATAACACGCATCACGTAATCTCGTTCTTTTCTATTTCATAATTACTTTTAACAACAAATCCAAGAGGCTGTGATAATATTTAATGAAGTTTCGGGCACAAATCTTACCATTCTTGTTCATGTTGACGGCGAAGCATTTCTTAAGTCGGCAATAGGGGCACCAGTTTCTGCGCGCCTTGTCCACCAGACAGTTTCCCTTGCCGATGCAGGTATACCGCATGTTGCGTCGTATACTCCGCTTGAAGAAGCAGCTACAACCATCGCAGCAATACACGCCGTAGTGTTTGCCGTAACTCTTATCTCCGCAGACTTTACAAGGCACGGGGTTTGGTAACGTGCGACCTGTTGACAGAAAACAAAACGCATCATAACTGTACTCTGATCTTCTTAATTTTAGATTGTCTTGGATATGCAGGCCTTTTGGTGGATTATCAAGTGATGAACTTGATTGACACACATAAAAATGAAAATAATTGTAAACAAGAACTCTGCTTTTTAATACAGAAGCAACCACCACGCATCTTGTAAACAGAATCTGAAGGCTGGGAACATTCCTTGGGTCCCTTCTTTTGTTGCCTTACGTGAATTATTTCCCACTGAGCAATTCTTGTCAAGTATGCAACATCAGTGTGATGTCTCTCAAGTTGTTTCATACAACCTGTCACCGACACTACAAAAGTCACATTCACTGCTGACTTACAAAGATCCCGTTGTCTTATATCAGCGATGAGTTTTAGATTATGTGTTTCTCTCTGCACACAAGTCCTTTGATTCTTTCCAAGTCCTTTGATTCTTTCCAAGTCCTTTGAAGGTAACCTTTTTTGTAGCCACGTGAGAGTATTGATGTGTCTCTATTGCTAAATTATCTCAAAAACTGCGGACAGTCTATGATACTCTACCAATCTTTCACTTTCAAAATTTTCAGTTTTCTTTCCTCTTTGAAAAAGGTTCAACTCAACAGTTTGTGCCGAAGGGCCTACACTACTAACTCAATTAAATTTTAATTTGAATCCAAAACGTTTGCTTTTAACTTGATTGTCCTCATTTTACAACTTAATTTAATCTAATTGCAATCTTCAATCCAACAAAATACTCTTTTTTGTCTGATCCATAAGGTTATTTAGATCTTTTTTTCCTATCCAATCACAAAATAACAAAACATTGCAATCGGTGGCAGATCAAAGAAGTTTCTAAGCCATCAGAAACAAGAAAAGTTGATCACGGAAGAAAACATGTAGGCCTAAGTAAAGAGTGTTTGCTGAATAATATAAGTATTCACAAATATCTTCAGGATTCTCTAAATCTGCTTTTAGACATAGGGTATACATACATGTATCATTCACTGAAATTAAAATTGGGAAAATGATTGCTATGATTCCGGAAAGATCTGACTTACCCATTGCGGGTGGTTCTCGGATGAAAATAAATAAACAGATTCGAGATGATAAACTCAACTCCAAGAATAGCCGACTGTAACCACAGTGGAGGATTGAGGCAGCGTGGCTAAAGGAGAAGTTATCCCGGGAGATCAATGCGAAGTCTCGGCGGAATTAGCTTTGGCTTCGCCGGTCGGTTCCCGTCGTGCCGTGTGAGTGACTCTAGACATCAAAGCGCGCTAGCTTTCAAGACTGCAGTGACGGTGGTGACTGACTGTAAGCCAAGATAACCGAAAGAATGAGCCGATTCATCAACCAAACCAAAAAAGGAGAGGACAGGATAAGCTTTCTGAATCCAAACTTTTTCACTTCGGGGCTTTTGGGGAGATGCTCGGATCCGACAGCCACCTGCACTCCAGCTGGAAGACGGCGATGGGTGAGTGGAGGCCCGGAGGGATGGTCGGCGGTTGATCGAACGGCTGCGCAGCCAGCGAAAATCGCAGCACTGTTTCGACCCATAGCGTGCTCTCTGATCTATCGTCTTGCCTAGCTTCAATAACGGGATAATTTTGTTTAATCAGTTGCCAATCGATGGCAAGTGCTTGCCAGAAACGTCGCTCAACTCGAGTCGTTTGGAGGGGGAAGAACATTTTTTCATTCCCAAACCGAAAGAGGAGCCAGTAATGAAAATGCAAGGGAAAAAAAGACAAAAAGGAGGGAAAATGCATCTTTTATTGAATCGGTGTGTGCAGAGGAATAGGTAACCTGTCAAAATGTCACAGGACGACGAGAAAACGCATTAACCCAATGAAGAACGCACGTTAATGTGCGTTGCCCAAGCTATTATGTTGAACAGCCTGAGGTGTTAGGGCGTGGTGTCATCTTACAGCAAAGAAAACAAAACATTGGTCCGTGCATATCGTTAATTCCCGTCAATCGACCGACAATTATTTTGACGCGCTGTGGACAAAGATTGTCTCACCAAAATATAAACTTGGCGATACGACCCAACGTCGCCATGCCTTGATGACGGTGTGCGCGGTTCTTAATCGTCTGCTTTATTGATCTTTCTCTCCTGGATTTGTTTTCTATCATAAGAAGGAAGCAGACAGCATGGTATAGGTAGCTGCCCTACATTGTATGTAACAGGTTTCTGTTTGGGGGTACCTGTGAGGGATCCAGTTATTGATAGAAAGAAGGTTTTCTCCGGGCGGACAGATGATACCGTTGCGGTGGAACACGCTGCGTCCCCCGGGGGGCCCGATGCTGTATAGTTCGGCCTCTACTCTAGTCACCGAATGCATCCCGATCATGCCCACTGGGAGAACCGAAAACAAGGGATTGAGGAAAGTGGAGACAGTCAGAGACGGTTACCAGCTCATCTTTGTGTTTGCCAACTAGAGCCCCGAAGAGCCACGGACCCGGTCGGTGCTGCAGTCGCAAGCAGTCCGCGCAACTTGACGCCGACGCCGCGGACGGATCGACCCGTGTGTACTTCAGCGTTGATCATAATCCGTCTCTAGCCCGTGCAATCAGGCGGGATTCACGGCAACTTTTTTAAGTTACAGATGCTGCTCGTTTTCTGGGAAATATTCATGTCAGGCAGATTTTGTTTCAGGGAATGTGTTTATTTACATCGTTACCCTTTCCAGACCCTTGCTATTTCATGTTTACTATGTAACAAACATAAACTTTACAATGAGTACAAACTTCACTTGGAGGTTACTGCTACGTAGGCCTACGTCATAACTGCCTGCTTGTATCATTTGGTTGTTATTACGCGTGGTTTGCACGGATAAAACAGTAAAATGGAACACTCGATAGTTTTCCTTTTTTGCTACGTTTTCTGTCGAGTGTTATGGAAATAGATTCTTCCTCATACTGAATGCATTGCTTGAAAAATCTCACAAGCCATAAGAGGCGACCGATGAAGTAATGGGAAGAGGCTGATCTGGCAGGCCTCTCCGTTGACATTTTTTTAAGTAGCCGTAGCCTTTCCCGGGCCGACTACGCCAGTCACTGACACGATCAATGATTGGACGAGCCGTCTTGTCAAATCTTGTCAATATCACAGGCAATGGACGTGCTACGGTGCCCAGTTTCGTTGAATGACAATGGAGTAACCTGCAGAACTAAGGCTTGATGAAAGTTGCAAGTAAGGTGTTTTGGTGACTGCAACAAGAAATATGGATGTTCGTATTCGAAGGGGCAAAACATCACAGGTATTTGTGCCATCTTAGATACAGGCAGGAAGCCCGCCCTCTGGTGACACAAAGACAAGGCTGAGTGTCTTTTTAAAAAACTGTTGAATCATGAATCATGGATAAGCTCCTAACTGCCACAGGGACTATCTTTGAGATAGCGGGTATTACTGTCATGATGAAATACAGGCCTGGGTAAAATGTTTCCATGCAGCATTACAATTTTGTTACAACATAACATCTTTTTTTCAGTTTAATATAGAGAGAGTAGCGCCACCTTCAGACTTTGGATCCCAAATGGTTCTTCATTATGTGTTCCGTATAGCATACAGCTATTGTGTGTTAATTGTCCGTGTGCGCTGAGGCATAATCCACCATTTTGGTTCCAACAATTGAGACACTCGTGTCGCAACTATTTCTATAAACAGCGCCGCCAGGAGGACGTCGTCACCTGACGTTTCTTTTCTTCTTATTCCAAGGGTTCTATCATGTTCGTCAATTTATCGACTCGTGTGGATGCTAACATATAGAAAAATATCGAGATTTCATGGTGATGTTCCAAAGAACATGTCTGCCCTAATCTCAAATTTCCTTTGAGTGTAAAACAATGATTACAACAAGGAGAGTTCTGAGTGAGGGGCTCAGCCGTGCGCAGTAACCCAAAGGTACAGCGGTGTAATACCTTCCCATTGCTCGTCAGCCCTCGGGCTCGTGCTGTAATAATTAACTGGGGGAGACGGGACCGGCCACTCGCTTGGTCAGTGGTCTGCTCCGCCGCCCGTGCTGGGTAGAACTAAGCAGCAATTCTGTCGAAACACTGTAACTCAACACTTGCAGTGGACACAAAACACACACAGGAGAGTTCTAGGTCTGTGTTGGTAACCAGTGGAAGTAAGGCAGCATCCGAATCTGTTGTCTAGAGCTAGGTCTAGGTAGACAGTAGACCTAGCCGTAGCCCTGGAAGCCCGTTTCGGACACGGCCTAAGTGTCACCACAAATGAAAGGTCACTTCTTGTGGGGACATTTTAACACTGCTGCTCGAACTTAACTTGTTACCAAACTTATCTCATATCATGTTTTACTCTCACTTGATCTTTTCTCTTAAAAAGCAAATGTAATAATGCCGCATGCCCAAGAATTTTATACACTTTTCTTATCATTCCTTTCAATCCATTTATTTGAAGTACCATGAGCGATTTTCGAACAGTCTAGTGAGGCACATGTTCCTTTTTTCCAAGCCGCCAGGTAGGCCTATCGCTTTATGCGGTTTTCTCCCTATTCAGATTATTACGTGTAGTCATTGTTTGGCTTCTTGATAGTTGAACTCTAACTCCTAATTTAGAATTTTTGTTTTGGTATTTTAATTAAACACTTCCTTTCTAAATAAAGGTTATGCCACATCTAGAAAAAAAACCCGTATAATGTAATCCGATCGTATCCCATGCATCCAGGAAAGCACTTAAACTACCCAAAAAACTAATAATATCTAATTCAATCACCACCAGCCCAGAATCCCTTAACAAACCGTCGTTAAATGAACCCCTAGATTAGCTTGCCATCGTAACAGCGTGATATGTCAAAGATGAATCAGTCACTGGATAACGAGAGGGCAAAATGTGGCCACTTTTTTGCTGCCCTTCTCCGTCGTTTTCCCCCCACGCGCCAATTCAATCTTATCCCCTGTATATTGTCTGTCGTGTCTCCAAGCAATTAGACTGAAGGTATCGATCCGTGGCCCAGGGATACAAAGGTGTTCCACGGAGGTTCTTTGGGATGAGTTGATGGAAGAAGTCTCATGTCGATTATCATTCCAAATTGCTTTGAACTTCTAATTTTGGTAATATTTTGTTTCAGTATGTTTAATTTCAACTTCTGAAGCACTCCGGATGCAAACTATAATTTTTGCCATTACTTTGAAACGTCCGTCGGGTAACTTTATGGGCATTTAACTGACACAACATCACTGTTCTGAATTCAGTATATTTTGATTTGGACTCCAGAATTCACTTGGCATAAACAAACAATTATAGTTTACCAAGAAATTGTGGAGGGGTGTATATTTTATTTAGGCCTACATTGTATACAGCTCTTCGAAATAAAACAGAAACCTTGTACGGAACAGGACTTATTCAGATTCTCTTTGATATTTTCATGTCATGAACTTTGTATCAATTTTTACCCGCTATTACTCAGCCAGAGCTATGCTTCTCTCGCCCTCTGGCGACCTGACGTTAGGTCGCTTGTCTGTTTCGACAGGCCATCACCAGCACGCGTAGACCCCTCATCATGGCACGGCAAACGTCTTGGTAAACCGTAAAGATTGGTCGGCAGGTAACTCCACGCGCTCCCGATGATGTGTTCACTTAAATCTAATGACATTTTGATTTTATTCTCTGGTTCATTAGTTGACTGAGTCACGTGGTGTGTAGATCGATGGAATTACTGCCCAGTTGTGATAAACAGACCAACAAAGACTTTTAATGACTAAAACAAGATGAAAATATGAAAACGCAGTCTGTCGTTTGATTATGCTAAACCTGTTGATGAAACAGCGCAACGACATTGACACCATGTTAACCTCGGGGAACTCAACAAGCAAACTTCAATAGGAGGAAGGGTCGAAAGCTGAAGTCGGAATTTCTGAGGATTTCTGAGCATATACCTGTTTGTTAAAATGTTCGGTATTAATGATTTGCAAGCCATGCTATTGTCCAAATTGATGATACGATATTCAAACTAAACTGACCATGAAGTATACTTAAGACGTGGCTTGTCGGGGAAGAAAAAGGTATGTAAATTAATAACTTTGGTTCGGGTTAGGGTCACAATTTTTTTGCTAGGGTTCCACTACATAATCTTTTACCTCCTTGCATTGAACAATGTTAACTTCGAAAAATATGAAGAATTCTTTTCTCATCATGTCTGTCTGGTCAATGGAATTCAATGGTGCTTCTTATTTTGGAGTTGAAATAGATTGATTCTAAAAGTCAGTGTGGAATTGCGCATGAGGGGAATGCGATATAATTTAAACTTCAATCCGGGGTTTGTGTTTTGTATTTTGCACGGAAATGACGACATGACCTCTGCGAAGCGGCCGTTGTTTTATCGACTGACCGAGCCAGAGTCACGTAACGACGGTTGGGTCAGCCGTCAAGCTCTGGGGCAGAGGGTCTAAAGTTTCCCCCTTCTCTCGTGCCTGCTGA